AACCGCTTCCCCGCCTGATGATGATGGTCTGCCTAGCAAAAGCGAGGTACTATCTTTTGTGCGTGCGCTGTGGGATAAGGCACAGGCAATGCTGGAGAAAGACCTTGCTGCTGCTGGGCCTGATGGGCCCGTCACTTACAGCACCGCTGTCCTGCTCATGCATGCGCTGCTGGCGGAGATGATATCTGGTGTCTACATTCCGCCTGTCCGCTTGTCCGTGTTGAGCACCTTGATGGTGCCAGGCATGCAGACCTGCAAGCAGCAAGACTGCTTCCAGAAGGACTGCCGCGGCAACAACCTGGTCGAGGTGTTTCCTGTAGCAAGGGCGGGGGCAGGGGCGGATGGCAGCCATGGCGCTAGCAGCAGCAGCAGGAGCAGCAGCAGCAGGGGCCGTCGTCTTGTGATGGAGACCATCCATCACAAGACGGAGCGCTTTAAGAAGGATGAGGCCCTGAGAATTGTGCTCCCTTCAACGCTCTCCCAGCACATCCGGACTTACACAGAGTATGCCCGGCCAGCGCTCCTCAACATGAATCCCAGCATTGACGATGCCAGCAAGGAGCCTCCCTTCCTGTTCCTTGACAGGAAGGGCAGGCCGGTTGCAGGTGTCGACGCCCCATTCACGGACGAATGGAAGCTTATTCAAAGGAAGTATGGTGCACCCTGGCCGACAGTATTCTGCCCCATGAAATTTAGGCACCTCCATGCCACTGTGAGGTTCAAAGACCTGGTGGACAATGTGGCAGACCAGGAGGAGGAAGCCCTCGCAGGGGATGCACTCGTCATGGGAAATTCTGTTGCTGTCTGGCGCCGCCACTACATAAAGGGTCGTGACAGCATCGTGGCACAGAAGGCTGTTGGGCACCTCGGGCGCTGGCGGGCCATGGAGAGGCAGAAACAACACGGTGGCGGTGGTGCTGCTGACACTGGAGGGGCAGCGGCAGGCAGGCAGCAGGGTCAATGGATGCAGCACCAGCACCAGCAGGACCGCGACAACCAGGTTGTGGATGAGGATATGGGTAAGGCTGAGGAGGCTGACGAGGAGGCTGAGGAGGCTGAGGAAGCGGAGGAGGCGGAGGAGGCGGAGGAGGAGGCGGAGGAGGCTAAGGAGGAGGCGGAGGAGGCGGAGGAGGAGGCGGAGGAGGCTGAGGAGGCTGAGGAGGCTGAGGAAGCGGAGGAGGCTGAGGAGGCTGAGGAGGCTGAGGATGCTGAGGATGCTGAGGAGGCTGAGGAGGCTGAGGAGGAGGCGGAGGCGGCTGAGGCGGCTGAGGAGGCTGAGGAGGCTGAGGAGGCTGAGGAAGCGGAGGAGGCTGAGGAGGCGGAGGAAGCGGAGGAGGCTGAGGAGGCGGAGGAGGCGGAGGAGGCGGAGGAGGCAGAGGAGGCGGAGGAGGCGGCGGAGGAGGACAACGATGACAAGGAGGAAGTGCAGCTGCCACTGCAGCAGCAGCACAGGCAGCCAGCCAACAACAGCTGCAGCAGTGGCCATGGCAACATCAACGGCAGGCAATTGATGTGCCCACCCTTGCTGCTGCCACGACAACTGCCAGTGCAGCAGCCACCACAGCTGTTGAGGCTTGGCAAGCGCTGCCACAGTTGCAACGAAACTCCAGGCAAGCGACCACACCTCGGGTCAGGGGGAATTCAAGCATCATTGTCCAAGAAACAGAAGTGCAGCATGGGCCAGCACCTACTACGGACCTGCGGGGGTGATGATCATGGTGACCCCAGCAGCAACGAGGAGGAGACAGGGCTTGTGTGGCGGAATTGGCAGCAGAAGCAGAAGCAGAAGCAGGAGCGGCTGCAGCAGAAGCAGCAGTTGCTGCAGCAGCAGGTGCAGCGGCTGCAGCAGCAGGAGCAGCGGCTGAAGAAGCAACAGCAGCGGCTGCAGAAGCAGCAACGGAAGCAGCTACAGAAGGAGCAGCGACAGCAGCAGCAGCAGCAGCAGCAGCAGCAGCAGCAGCAGAAGCAGCAGCAGCAGCAGAAGCAGAAGCAGAAGCAGAAGCAGAAGCAGCAACAGCAGCTGTGCAAGCAAAAGCAGAATGATAAAAGATAGCAGCAAGGCCATGCTGATGGGTGGTGTGATGGCACCCATGGGGGAGAGGGGGAAGATGTGTAAAGAGGAGAAGACCTATAGCAATGGGGAGGAGGGAAGACCTGGCAGTAGTGGAGCCATGTGTGTGTGGGGGGTACGTTGTGTAGTGTAGTGGGTTGGTAGGAGCAAACGGTGGAGGAATGGTAGGAGATGTGCATGGCTATGATAGGGGCCCCACTCATGTCGGTCAAACATTTTGCTGAGATACATACATACATACACGCGTCTGCGCCCGCATGGAGAGAAGCCCATGGGTCACACAAGCAATAATGCTCATGTACATGCACAGCATCTACAGAGGATACAACGCAGTGCCACCACACATTATTTTGCAGTGCCTTGGCCCTTGCTTGAACTTTGTGTGTTGCTGCTTGGAGGTGCTGATTGTGCGGTTGGGGCATCACTCCAAGCGGTAGTTGAATGCAGATCCGTGCAGGGTGCACGTCACGAGGGTGCAGGGTGTGTGGGTTAATAGCGTGCATACCAGGGCGCAAAGCACCCCTATATATGC